AACATTTCCAACAAAAGTTTGTTGCCAGTAAAAAGTCGTGACAGTATTGGAAAAAAAATGTTTTCTTGCAGCCATCTTTCTCTAGATGACCACACTTTTCAGTATTCGGGGTAAAAATAGCAGACAATAGCACAAAATATTACTGCTTAGTAAATTACTAAATTATCAAGTGGATCCATTTGTTAACATGGACAAAAAATCCAAAAGTCCAGTGCTAGATATATTTTAATCAGTAACAATAATTTTCCATTCTTACCTCAGGGAAATGTTGGTAATAGTGACATGGAAGCCAGGTCTCTCATTCTCAGATCTTGGCATTATGAGGATGTAAGTGGTCAACTTCCCACTTTAAATAAGGAACTGTGGCAGAAGAAGGAATTCCAACCTGTCTCACTGGACAAGGCAACGTAATAATTCTGTTATGGCGAGTCTAAAATTAATATTATTAATGCTCCTATGGCAACACTGTTACAGTGCATACTAGGATAATGCAGACTGCTCAGGTACATTACAGACTTTAAGGACCCCTCCATGTCCATCTCTGCATCACATCTTTCACTACAAAGAGAATTAATGTTCCATTGTTGCACAGGAATGGAAAATCGGGTCATATGCATGCAAGAATGGCACTATTGTGCAACAACACAAACCTATGACCATATTCAAGCAAGAATGACCAAAGACACAACAATGACCTCAAATGACAGTTGTGTAACAACTGTTCACATGATGTGGAGTGGAAAGTCAGCATACTTCAAAGAGAATGCCTTTCCAGTCTTTTTAAGCACTTGACATACCTGCAGGATCAGCACCAGAAGTAGGCAGTGCCGCATGCCTCAAAAACTGAGTGACCTCCTGCAGGCTTTGAGCTCCCAGTGCTGTAATTTGGCAATCATTAGACAAGGACAAAGGTGGAAGATTCCGGACCACCTCTGACGCTGTGCACAGTACTTCATTGCATAGAACCGGACTACCTGTATAAAATACAATAAAAATATAAGTGATACAAATTCCTATAATTGTTGACTCACTAACTCATGTGATGATGTGTTTATGAGGTAACACCACTGGCTGATATTTTAAGACCCTAAGTCTACTATCTTCTTTATTCTAAGTATTACTGACCAAATGTGAACCAGAGCAGAAAATGTCAAGCCAGTTTGCTTTATAACAAAATTGTTAGAATATAGTTAAAAAATAAATAATGAAAAACAAATGTTTAATAAATGTTGTATATATTTTTGCATCTTTTGTTTCAAATGCACAGATGAAATGCTCATACTGTTGCAACATATCTCAAAACCTCAGCTGCAACAAAATGTTTGAAGGTTTAAATGAAAAGCATTCTCCCATTACTTGTCATAGCTAATACGCAGGAACTAAAATTATCTTGTAAGATTTCAGGTTCACCCTCAGTGGACTACTGGTTAGCGTGCTCGCCACTGGACCCAAGGTTCACGGGTTTGATCCCGGCCGAGGTTGATGGATTTTTAAGGGTGATAAAAATCCGTAGCACAACTTCCTTCGCAGGGGCAGTAAAGCCAGCGGTTCCATGTCATAGATTTACAGCATGTAAAAGAACCTTGAGATCATGATACAAGAAGTTTCATAAGCAAAATTCAGCTGCCATTTCTCACCCAAGTCTCTCCTGATTTACTGCTAGATGGCTCTGGCAGTCAAAATCAGGATTGAGTAGAAATTGTGCAGAGGCAGTGGGCTTGTCACTCACTACTCGAATGCACCTTACAGGACTAATAAGGACAAGCTGCCTTGAGCAACTGTCCCGAAACGGACCAATAGGCCCAATCCCTGTAGTAGATGATGATGGTTTCAGGTTCTCATGGCAGCAATTATGAAGATGACAGTCTTCTGGAATGTTATGCCATGTAATTAACTGATATTTCAGAGGTACTTACTGCCTCTATCATCAGGGGAACTCATCGCCAAAATATGTTATAGCAGAAGTTACTGTACCTGGTATAGTGCTGTGTTGCCAACTTTGACGCAGCAATGCAAACAAAAGTGTGAGTCCTGTTTTTACTGCCATCTCTATAAGAGCTTGTGATGCTGAACATGCTTTCTCTGGACCACTCTCAGAGATCTCCTGCCTACTCTCAGTGGCATAAGCACTAGACTGCAATCTTGCCTGCAAAAGCAGAATAATAACAATACAAATGATTGAAAGAACTGAATTAGTTTGTTTTGATCCTTGCATTTTAAGCTGAATATTTGAATAAATTTGTGGCAATCTAATTCCCTTCACAGAGCTTACATATATAGTACCACTTTGGTTAAAATTGGCCAATACTATTTCAATCTTAAAACTTATTTGCAGTTTACTACCACACAAAGCAACTAAAATTGCATAGTCCTCTCTTTGAATATAATCCCATTGTTACAGAACTAAGTGAACAAATAAGTGATGCAGTTGCAAAAGAGGTCAGAAACACTAAAAATTACTTTTTTTTACTTACTTATGCTGTTTAACAATAAATTTATGTAGTTGTAGTAACAACATTTAAAACAAATACCAAATTCTACTGAAAGAGGACTTGTTTCTGAGAAGATGAAAGCCATTCACTAGTCAAGAAATTCTATGTCTCTTATGTAACATGAACATTCATTACTGTGTTTTCAATAGACTACAACTGGACAATATACTGAGCTTGATGAAATCAATCCATATTGTCATACTCTCCCATCTCTGCCTAGGATTCCCAAATGGTCTTGTCATTCAGGCTTTCTGAGTTGATGGCAAACTTCATGTACACAGTGTGAATAAACAATGAGTAAGCTCTGCCACAGTCTATTTGCAAACAGTTTTCTGGTGTGTATGTACCATAACCTGAACAATCTCTCTACAACATAACATTGTATATTAGAAAATAATGACTGATTACCTTTTCCTTATCATGGTATTTACATGATACCGCATAAAATATTCGTTGCAACACCCATAACCTTTGATGAAGTACAGTTGAAAATGGTGATACAGCATAAAAGACACGTGCCAACTCCAATTGTGCTAACAGAAGCGCAGCGATGTGATGATCAAGTTCAGTAGCTGACAGAGAATCACACTCAAAATCTGGCAGGGCAGCACCTTGATTCAATGGAGAACTGGAAGTTGGTACAAACATAACCTCCTTGTTTGCTATCAAATGGTCATACAGTACTGTAACCCCATCTCTTGTGGCAATGTTATCACAATTTTCTCCTGCCCAAACACTGTTAAAATGATCCAGTAATTTTAATTTAAAGTTCAAAATCGACCACCCACGCATCATTATCTCGTCACAGCTTTAAACTCTGTAATAGATACAAAAAACATTAGTTGGTTAAGGACATACACTACCAAGAAAATAAATAAACTACACACACTTCATGGGATATTCTTCAAACATTTCGTACATTATAAATGTAGAAATGCATTAATTAAATCAGTGTGTAAAGTCACAATTCCGATATACATAAGCAAATACTTTCATAAACAACTTTGTAATTCACGTAGTGGATCAATATGTGCCAACTTACAATGAACTATGAACAGATAAAACTGAAGAATTTAATTAAATATAGCTTCCCTACATTTATCTATGTTCCTTTAATTACGTGACACAATATAATTTTTTACAACAGTATCGCCAATATATTTCTTTGTCATGTAGTAGCAATCTGTGAAGCACTGAAAAAAGGAACTACAACTGTTATATTGGATCACTTGCCAATATTCTGAGACTCCATGTTTCTGTTATGTAACACAGATGGCAGAACCAAATCTTCATCTCCCCCCAACCCGGCAATATAATCACCCTGATTATGGCAACACCAATGTTTGCCGAAACGTTGTCAAACTTCAAACATTCAATGTACGGAACAAATCACAAAAAACGACTTTCGAATTGCTGTGTATGTTCAGAGTTCTTTGATGTGTGCAGTCAAGAACAGATTTCTAATTTCACAGTTACTAATGTGGTGTCTTCTACAGATGTCACCACATAGTATACACACAAGTGTTTCTTTTGGAGACTGGAAAAGCATTGTTTTGTATATTTTATGTTGGGAACTATGCACTGCAAGTCGAGAAACTAGTAGTTAGCACGGATTATCTACATGTAGCTAGCCTGGGTTCAGTTCCTGCACATCATTGCATCGACAATGCAGAATTCGTTCCAGATGGAATCCTGCAGTACATAAATCGCCTTTAGACTGAATCAAATAAGTTGCTTTCTGGTCAAATTAGACAATAAGGACCACTACTTTATGCTAGGTAAGAACAGTTTAAGTCAAACGTAATTTATATTTACTTTGTTACTTCTTACCAAGCATCGAATAGGCAAATGCATTTTGTTTGAACAAACATTGCAGATATTAATGAGTATAATGTATTATACGTAGACCTATGCATGTACATCTTTCCTCACATAACGTGATGTTACAGAGATGAACCTCATCACATGCTGAAGTTAACCTCACAAATGTGCCTATACCCAACTGTGATACGATGTCAACTTAGCTGATCTTCTCAAATTTAATTCTGTGTTTAAAAGAGAGACCGAATTTTATGTAGATAATAATAAAACGAAAACATTAATTCATTCTGCATCACTATTATTTATGGATTTTGCATGTTTGTTCGTGAACCATTTAACAATGCAATCCTAACAAGGACGTGCCGATTAAGACAACACTATAGCGACAGGCAACAGACTTTCGGGATACAGTAATTATCTGTCTGTTTCTCTGTATGTCTGCCTGCTTGCCTTTATCAGGTGTTAATAACACGACAAAACAGCTTAAATTACGGCCTGCCGATTTTAAGCAGTGCATCGACTGCAACAATGAGATGCAGCTGCAAGAATTCAATAGTAATTGATTTCGTGGTTTTTTGCATGAAGATATACGTGTGTAGTAGATGAGGTGTCATTTTAAAGGGTGCACTCTATACTATTACTTATTCCTCTCTCCATTTTGCAGCAGGTTTTTTATAACAGACTGGCAAAGACGAGGATGCGTAATTTGTGGTCTGTAACTGCAAGGATTTGAAATGAGTAGGAAAATCCTTGGCAGATAAATTTCTCTAAAAACCTGTTCCATAACTCTTTATGCATAATTTGTAAATGTTTAATATCTATGATTCTGCTTAACCACTTTAAGATCACTCTAACAGTTTTCACATATAGACGGTCAGACTGATTCGTTCTAATTCTGCAAGCGCCAGGTTAATGCGGCAACTTCTCCGACACTACTGCGATGCACGTAGTCTAATCACACTTCAAAGGCGCTTGTGTATGAAAGTGTGATTTACCGGCACAAAAACTAAATGGCAAATACTTAAAATTTAATGTTTGCCGTGAAGTGTTTCTAAACACACAGTTCGCAATGCTCTCGCACTATTTTTACAAGTCTTTTAAGTTAGTTTCCGAAACACACTGTGTGTGTGTGTGTGTGTGTGTAGTGTGCGCCCCTTTACAGAAACACTAAATAAACTGCAGTAATGTCAGCCCCTTGGATGACTTTCAATGGTTTAATTTTGTTTAATTTGTACTTTCAACGATTTAATATGGTGATTTGCGAACTTATAAGCCTGAAAATTTTAATGAATATACATCTCTTAAAATATGTAACACTTTAAAGCCAATTATACTTAAAATGAAAATTAGCATGGCAAATTTGAAAATATTGTCGATATAACAGTAATTGATGAACCGAACTTGGAATTAATTAAGTCGTGAGATTTCAATTACGTCTACAAATCTAATACCAAAATGTGGCTCTTCGAAATTTGTTTCAAAATGAACAGGAACTAAACTTTACTAGTTAGTGTACAGCCTCCTGGATATAGCAGATGTTCGATTTATATAAATTACAGACGTTTCTGAGAATCGTTGACTCTGACGATAGATACAGCAAGTCCCTCCGGAATTTCGGTTATTTTTTTGCCATTTCGGCAAGATGCTACAATCAGAAAACTGCAACGAATAAGAACCATCGTGAAAGCTTCTCTCGGCCTATCTATTACCGACTGAATATTTAAGGCAAGAAATCTAAGGACATTAGCTCCAAGAAGAAGCACGATCCCTATAGACTGTTTCTTACACTGCAAATCTAGTTTCCAAATTTTGTGCTATTCTCTACTGGTATATAACACTGCAGAACCTCTCCAGCCCTATTCCTTGAGATGTATATTAATGTTATCTTTCCATCTACTCCCACGTCTCCCAAGTGATATCTTCCCTCAAGGTTTTCTTATTAATATGTTGTATGCAATTCTCACCTCTCCATGTAAGCTTCTAGATGTCTTGACCATCTCATCTCCTATTTGATTACCCAAATAATATTTGGTGAAAAGTAAAAATGATGAAGATTATCCTAATGCAATTTTCTCCAGTCTCCGATTACTCCCTCCTTTGAGGTGCAAATATTCTCCTAAGTGCACTGTTCTCCGAAGTCTCCAATTTATATATAGAGAATTTAACTTCAATTTGGCAGTGTATTTTCCTCCACACCAGACGTAATTTTTATACCAACAAGACTCGATGGCTGGAGCCTCGTTCATTAGAATGGATATACTGCGTTCAAAACTACATAATCTGAGATCTGAAAGCGTCGTTAAATAAACCAAGAGTGAGTTACACCGTGAATGAGATGTATAAGAGACGTATTATGTTAAATATTGGTTGGAAATTGAGTAAATACAGAAAACCAAGACCGAAAAGGAGCAAAATGTCAATGAAAAGTGGCCTATGACATTGAAAAGTGTGTAATACAGGTTTCAACTCGGCTGGCGAAGACTAAGTATGTTGACCAGGTTTTGTAGTTACTGTGATGTTAAAATATCATAAACCTAGCCGACCTGTTTTAAAATCAATGTAATTCTGTACTTTTAACAGAGTTTAAAGGAGAATGCTGTTTTCATTATGGAGGTTCGTCCAAAAACATTTTCCTATAAATAATATGAGCTACATACTTTAAATCAGTGGATGCACAATCGTACATGAATCTGCAGTCCCGCGCAACGCAGTTGTAAGTTTCGGTAACTCTGTATCACCATATAAGGGCAGTGACCTCTCTCAGCCCAGACCACTCAGAAATCGATTCGTTCATCTCGACGCAGACACTGGGAGGAAGCTTTGTAGGCATACTATTGGGTGGCTCTCCCCCTTATAAAACTGAGCAAACTCCAACAACCCTCTCTAACCCTCTCCCCCAACCCAGTTTCTTTTATTTTTTAATTAAAATGTGTACTTGACTCAAGTCCACAATTCTATTCTCGGCTTTAAAATATTCCCAACTCAACGCGTCCGCATTATGTTCCTGTATCACGATCATTATCATAACCAGCACTGAGCTGTCTTCAGATATCACGGCCTCAAGTTAAGTGATTATGTATCACCCTGTACACATTCAAATATCGACATTCGAGGCTGTCACCCATTATTTCCATGCAAATCAGATACAGTGCATGACCAGTAGAATTTTATTAGGGGGTTCTACGACTTTCTTGTTCATCCTATAAGAAACATACACACAGCAAGAAAGTTTGGTTCATGCAACTCCAACTTCGTTAACGCTCCATTTGTCACGTTTACCAAACATGGCAAATAAAATGCTACTCTTTCAGGAAGTTACCGTGTGTCTCTTTAGTTACGTGAATTCTGAATAGCCTACTATGAAAAACTATTTGGAAAATATGAAAACAAAGCATTAATAAGGTCACACAAGGTGTTCTACATGAGATTAGTTGAAGACAAGTACGTCCCTGTACTGGGGTTTCCCATTCGTTTAGCCACTGCTTTAATATCAATGAGTCAAGAAGATTGATGTCGCGGGTAACGCACTACACTCTTCACCAAACACCATTATGGTTAATAAATCAAGGGGTTATATGGGCAGAATGAGTAGCACGTATAAGGGTGATGAGAAATGAATACCAAGCTGTAATTTGAAAACTGAATTGAACAGGCCACTTGGAATTACTAGGCGCAGATGTGAAAAAATATTAAAATTTATATAAATTAAATATTATTGTGGAGTGTTAGATCCTTGATAATGGAGGCAGCAGGGCGTTCTGAAATGTCAGTAAACTTCTGCTAGACTACATGGCGCTACAACTCAGAAGACAGACAATTCAGGGTCTGGACATGATTTTTATGGCTCATGACAGGGACCATTGGCAGGTTCTTGTGAATACGGTAGCTTTAAAATCAAATATAGTTTCTGAAACTCTCTGATCTACGAGTGTTCAATATGTTGTTACTCATAAACTCACGTAAAGGTGGAAGTCAAAACTTTCCAGTTCTGTGTAT